ACACAGTTTCAAACGGACTCATCATGAAGCAACCCTACCCAGGTTCCTTCTCATACAATTCCAGATGAAGTTTCACACATACTCATCATGAAGCAACCCTACCCAGGTTCCTTCTCATATAATTCCAGATGAAGTTTCACACAGACTCATCCTGAAGTAACCCTACCCAGGTTCCTTCTCATACATTTCCAGATGAAGTTTCACACAGACTCATCATGAAGCAACCCTACCCAGGTTCCTTCTCATACAATTCCAGATGAAATTTCACACGGACTCATCATGAAGCACCCCTACCCAGGTTCCTTCTCTTAAATTCCATATGAAGTTTCACATGGATTCATCCTGAAGCAGCCCTACCCAGGCTTCCCCCTCATATATCTCCTGAAGCATCCCTACACAGGCTCATCATGAAGCAATCTTGCACAGATTCCATCTAATACATTTCCAGACACGACTTAACACGAGTCCGTTCCAGCACATCCTTCAGATTTAGATCAACCAAAGATTTATCTTGATACTTCTTCAAGATACAGTCAAACTTAGACTTAGTCTAATTTCTGTCAACAATCACCTTTGGATGGAATCTGTAAGCCCATTCCCTACATAATCAACCACCACATCATCAAGTGCAAATTTCTGGGCACTCTAGTGTTCAATCATCTTCCACCTGCAAGTCACGAATGGCAGACTCGCCAATCTAACTCTTCGGGTTTAAGAAGATTGAACAGGGGAAGCTTTTGTACCCCAAAATTTGCCCTCTTATTTTTCAAGACATTTTCTCACAAGGATTTTCAAAAGTTCAAATTTGCACAAAGTACAATTGGGCTTTCAAGCATCAAATCGAAGAAGAGCATGCCTGCTTTGATTTCACATCCTTCAATTGGGCTTTTGGCCTCTTTCGATGCAAGCTTGGCTTACATCCTTCGATTGAGCATTGGCCTATGACATGCTTTCTTTGATTCATAAAGCAATGGCTATCTGCATGCAGCTTTCGATTGAGCAATTACCTTTTTCCTGCATGCTTCGATTCATAAAGCAAGGGGCTCCCACCATGCTAGCGTACACAAGGAAAAAGCTTCCCTATGGCTAGAATTCATATTATCACCCACAGGGCATTGGCTATCTTCATGCTAGCTCTAACTGGGCAAAGTCTCCCTTTGAAATAACTTGCGTTCGATTCACAAGGGCAACTCCTATCTTTATAGAAGCTTCGAATGGGAAATTGTTTCCCTTTGAAACAGCCTCCTTCGATTCAAAAGGAAAGGGCCTCCTGTTGGTGTCCTTCGATTCAGAAGTTAGTGGGTTCATGCTGGCAGAAGACAATGACCTTCTGAAAGCGTCCTTCGATTCAGAAGGCAATGGCCTTCTGAAAGATTTCTTTGATTCACAAAGCAGGGACCCCCTGCATGCATCTTTCGTTTGGGCATATGGCCTTCTTCGAATGTAAGTTTGGTTTACATCCTTCGTTTGACCATGTGACCTCTTGCAGGCAAGTTTCGATTGGACAATGGCTTTTCATGCAAGCTTTCGTTTGAGCAAAGGCCTCTTGCATGTTTGCTTGTAGTCACAAAGAAGTGACCCCCTGCAGGCAAGCCTTCGATTGGACAAGGGATACCTTCACACAAGGCTCCGATTGGAGTATTGGTTCCCTTCGAAGCAACATACTTCGAATCCAATCTGAACCCTTCAAGCAAGCTTAGTTGAAGAACTTTGATCAAATCTTATAGCCTTATGCTCCAAATATCACTTGTTAGGCTATGTTGCTTCCAAATCTTTACGTGATCAGAGACTTACACAAATTTGTGATACATTACACAAAGGTTCAAAGCTTTACCTACTGGATAATACTATTATTGGATAAAATGGCAAAAAGCTACGTACCCTTTTTTCATAAAGAGTACTTTAATCACAAAGTTAGCTCCCAATCTGATTTTTGTCTGAACGCAAGCAGTGCCAAAAGCATAAGTCCAATCTCCTGCCCTCAACAGACATCAGACCCCTACTTGTACTTGAAACTCGGGAGCAACGAAAAGGCATCAAATTTGTTTTCGTTTTCAACCAAACCATGGTTTGTTATCCTACAAATCTGGTTACTCCAACATCTCTAACCTTTTTCTCTATAAATAGAGAAACAATTTGTAAGCTGAAAAAGACTTTTGGGGATGGTGTGGAAAGAATCTTCAAAAAACTCTCAAACTCTCAAAAAACTCTCAAACTCTCAAAATTCTTAAACACTAAACACACTCTCAAACCCAGAATCTAAAGAGACACTACACTTGTTTCTTCCCTTCGAATCCATAACCCAGGGAAACACCAACCCAACGTTTTGCTCTTGCTTTCAAATCCAGCACTAGAAACATAACACTTGTTTCTTTTATCTTTCGAATCCAGAAGCAACCCAATGCTTGGTTCCTTCTTTCGAGTCCAGCGTTAGAAACATAACACTTATTTCTTTCCTTCGAATATAAAAATATCTAGGGGAGCAACTCAAGGTCCAACACACATATTCCAGCTCCAAGCAAGGTAAGTCATCCTGATCTTAACCCTTTCGTTTCAAGCATGTAAATAAAATCTGTTCACTTTTATTTCTTCCCTTTTGATTGTATGCATGTCTTGTCCAAGTATATGTTAGGACTAACATGTACAGACTCAAATAAAAGAAAGAGTTTTCTATGAATCGAAGCCTTAGGCTTCGCCCCTTACTGCTTTACAATGGCAAATAAAACAAAGAAAGGAAAATGAATCGAAGAATGCAATACTGGTTGCAGATCCAAACGAAGGGCAAGAAAGGTGAATCGAAGGGTGCTTGTTCACACTAACTTCTAGGCCAATCGAAAGAAACAACAAGAAGGGTGAATTGAAGGGTGCATCTCATGCTTACTTCCAGGCCCAAATCGAAAGAAGCCAGGGAGAGTTGAATCGAAGGGCGCTATTGCCTGGATCGTAGAACTCATTTCCCTTCTTTTATTTTATTTCGTCTTTATATTTTCTTGCTATTCAATATGGTTGTAATAGTGTAGGACATTTATTTTCTGCATTTTTATTGCTTTATACAAATGTTAGTAATTAGGATGTATGGAAAGATAAAACCAACAAGTAGAAAAACCAAAAATCAAAGACTAAATACATACAATCAAACACACTTTACACACATGCACCTCTAGGTTAATCTCACTTATTGCCTCGAAAAATAATCATGTCCCTTGAATATGAACGTTTTAGAAAAGACCCTCGATAAAAGATCGTAGTCCATCGATGTTGCCTTTGGTAAACGATCTAGTCCCTAAATGAAAATTGTTAAAACGTCTCATAGGTTGCCTTCTATGACTATACAAACGACCCACGCCCGTCCCTTCACATCCAACAATGGGGCTTCTTATCAATCAATGGTAAGATAGTAACATCTAAAGGAGTAGGAAAAGAACAAAGACCTTTCGAGTAGGTAGGTCGCTCGTAGTTGATTGCTTGCTCACAACTAAAAAACCATTTTCACACTAACACTTTTCAATTGAAACAGTTTCAAAAGTCAAAGCTCTTTGTACGCATTCTTATAGAGACGAGAATTATTACAAAGGAACTTTTCAAAATCCCTTTCAAAAACATCTTCCATAAACACCTTTTTAAACTATTTTTAAAACCAACACTTTGTACGCATTCTTATAGAGACGATAATCATTACAAGGACGTTTTCAAAATATTTTCAAACCCACACCACAAGCACATTTTCAAACAAAAGCAAGTGATCTAGCAAGCAACTAAGAGCCCGTAGATAACTACGGATGAAAAGGGTGCTAATACCTTCCCTTTTCATAACCTACCCCCCAAACTCAAGAAATAATCTCTAAAGGTCTTTCCTGTTCTTTTCAACCTTACCTTTGGATAAAAGAAAAGTCGGTGACGACTCTTGCTAACCGCAACAATTGCGATAAAACGCAAAACACCCAAGTCAGTTCTCCCACCATATTACAGTGACATTTGCATAAAGTTGTTGATGAATTATGTATGATGTGATGATGTTTGTGCTTGTGATGTAATTATGTTTAATTGTTGTTATAAAGATGTTTTGTGAACTAATTTTGATGAATGGAGGCGTGAGTATATGTTGTAATGATGATGTTGAATTGTAGACTATAATTACTAAAGTTTACTTTCCTCTTATGCCTTTTATAATTAATTATGATTACTCACCCATTCTGTTTGAATGTTACCTCCATGTGGATACCATGCATATTCTCAATAGTAGCATTGCTGAAGTAAAATGAATGATATCTCTTGAAGTGACTTCTATTTAGTGGCGTCTAATTGTAGTAGAATCTTGTTCTAGTTATGTTATGTTGGCACACCACACGTTAATGTTAAATACACAATTTCAAATTCAAATTTCATTCACTCTTCTCCTTCACGTAATGACTTAGACGTTGAAGTATTAATCTTATAAATCATTCTCCTTCACTATATTTAAGGCCCAAATTATTATTATTCATTACAACCATGGTCAATTTTGATTCTACAATGGAACATAATTAATTTTTTCATTTTTTTATTTTTAAATATAATAATTTATAATATTCTAAGTATAAATAACACTCGAATGAAGTGAAAAATTAAAATTAGGAGATCAACAAACTAAGTTTTAAAATGGAAAGATTAAAATTAAAAAAGAACAAGAGAGACCAAATTACAATAAAATATATTTCATCAGGTAAATTTTTGAAGTAAACAAAAACCAACGAAAATTGAAGCGTGAGATTGGAAATTTGGCGCAGAAACCCACACAATTGCTACTCCGATTTGATCCCAACCCATCAAATAGTACCAAAAACAAAACCCAGATTTTCCATTTTCCACCTTTCTCATAAACAAAAGGTTCCAAATTTAACACTTTCACATTAGTAGCTCAAAATACTATTCCAAAATTTGTGTTTCTTACTCTCCAACGTTGTATTGTTACAACCATAATGTTGTCACCGAACCACAATTGAACTTTGTTACCTTAAAAAATGCGGAGGGTACTTGGAAAAATTGCTGGGTATTTCAGCAATCGAACTGTGGCTGGAGTAGACAAAACTGGGAACAAATACTTCACCAGAAATGAAGAAATTGATGGTATCAGTAAGTGCTTTTCCGTTTTTCTCACCCTTTTTTGGTAATATGGAGTATTGTGTTACGCGTTTGTGTTTGTTGGATTGTTTGGTTTTATTGTTGTTTAAGATTTTGGGTTTCTGGATATAGAATTTGAGTTCTATGATTTTTTTGGTGTTGCCTTCTATGTGTTTGTGAAAATGTTGTTTTTGCATTGCAATGATCAGTGTTGTTGAATAGCTTCTATGGCAGTGTTATAGCGGAATTTGAACAAATTGCTTTTGTTGAGCAATATGATGAAGTGTTGTTAAATAGGGACTACAGTGCTAGCTGCAATAGGATAGTGGAATTGGAACAAAAAGTACTGCTATTTGGCTATGTGTTATGGTTGGGAAGACAGAATTACTCTACTTTGAGGGTAGAGAAGCCTCCTAAGAAGAAGATAAGAAGAAAAGATTAATTTCTCATTTTTCATAATGATTGCATAAGCCAGTACAAGGATATGTGGGGATCTCCATAATAAAATTGGTAACCCAATAATAATAAAAATGCTAACAAACTTATTCTAGAATGTAGATGGTCATCACTTCATTCAATTTTGGACTTGACAGTAAGTTGGGCCTTTAGGATCATAACACTATGCTCAGCTCATTGTAAATACTTTAATCATATGATATAGTTGGTGTTCTTAATTTATTTTGTTAATGGTGAGCTCCAATCCGAGATTGATGGGAAAGGTCGGATTTTTTTTAGCGGAGATGAGAATGTTGCGTTGAATGTGTGGTGAGACTAGACATGATAAAATTAGAAATGACAATATTAGAGAGTGTTGGGGTTGCATCTATAGTAGAAATGACGGTGGAAAATAGACGTAGGTGGTTCGGGAATGTAGAGAGAAGACCTATAGATTCTGGCGGTAAGGAGAGTAGATCAGATGGAGAAAAGTCAAACAGTTAGAGGTAGAGGAAGAGCTACAAAAACTATAAGCAAAGTTATTAAAAAAGATCTCGAGATTAATGATTTGGATAGAATTATGGTCCTGGATCAATGTTGTCAATGGCGGATGGCGGTCCATGGCATGGCAGAGAGCCAAAATCTCGCCATACCAGCCACTTTGTGGCGCCATTATAGCTGAAAAACCCACGATATCGGCCAATATTTACCAATGCGGCGAGCCCAAAAACCTCCATGTATATCCGACATAGCGGCCATGGCGCCGCTATTTGATAACACAGTCTTGGACAAAACATTATCGCGGAAGTTGATCCATGTAGCCAATCCCACTTAGTGGGATAAGACTTGGTTGTTGTTGTTGTTATAATAGTTATTATGGTTTGATATTTATATACTACTGTCACTCTTAAGGCTTAGAATTTGGTAATATTTTGAAAAAGGGTTTGGTGGCTAAGCTTTTAGGGTAAGGTCGTAGTAACGGCTGCGGTTGTGTCACAATCCTTGATTGCAGAGAATCACAGTCAAATGTGGTCTATATTGCGATTCTGTTGTGGTTTTGCAACATAAAAACCGTTATGTTGCAGAGAATCACTGTCAAATGTGGTCTATATTGCGGTTGTATTGTGGTTTCACAATATAAAAAAACCGTTATGTTGCGGAGAATCACTGTCAAATGTGGTTTATATTGCGGTTGTGTTGTGGTTTTGCAACATAAAAAACCATTATATTGTGGCTCAGATTGCAGTCTGGACCTTTATTTTAAACCTGGTTGTCCTAGACCAATCTTAGTAATCAAAGGGGATTTGCATAGAAACTATATTCACCTCACTCCAGGGAGATAGTGGAGATTTGAATTTGTGATTTGTAACATGCTCAATTTGGCCAATCCTGTTTTTTATTTAACCTTTTAGAAAGGGTGAGAAGTGAGATTAGTTAAGCTGACTATTAAAAAAAAAAAATTAAATGATTTTTTTGAGTTATTTTATGCTGCTGTATTGATTCACTCATGATATCATTTGATGCATCAGTATGAATTTAAAATTTCAAAGAATCTTTCTGATTATGCTTATTTTTTATTTGGTTTACTAGTGAAAGAGAAGAGATGGGTGGTGTTTAAGGGAGAGCAAGATCCTACCTCCATTCCAGGTATATATAATGTTAGCTGTCATTCAACTGCTAAGTTATTGGGTTTTTGTTCAAATCTATAAATACATGTGATTCGAGATGATCCAATTATGATAAATGTTGAATTTATTCAGAAAACAGTTATCCTATTTCCTACTATTGATGGGTTGTTGGTGCTTAATTGTTTTAGTTGAATGGATATGTTGGCTGAACGGGCAGCGTAAAAGGGCTCCAACTACAGAGGTAAATTGAAATGCCTTTATATATATCCCTTTGCTATTCCGACGAAGTTATCTAAAATTGTTGATGTTTCTTTACATTTTCATGTTTCTTTACATTTTCATGTCTCTTTACATTTTCATGTCATAGCAAGGGTTATAAAATAAGTATAGCATAGGGGAAGCGTAATTTGAGCAAATTGCTATTTTCTGCAATTGACAACCTGGTCATTAGTCATAGCCACACTGGATGACATCAGTGTTATCAAATGGTGGCGCTATGGCGGATATACGTGGCGGTTTTTCGGCTTGCCGTAATTGTAAATATCGGCCGATATTGCGAGTTTTTCCGCCATAATCAGCTATAGCGGCGCCGCAAAGCAGCCGGTATGGGGGATTTTGGCTCTCCGCCATGAACTGCCATCTGCCATTGACAACACTGGATGACATGATGTACAAATGTTTTTTATTAAAGTTTTGTGTGTGTATTACTTCATGTCTCTTAATACTACTTAGAGGTATAAGAAGCAAATGGCAGACTCATATGGCAGTCTCGCAGACTAAGGAAACAAGGAAGGAAGTAGGTTATTGTAATTCGTTTGCAAATAAGACAATGCGACTCTATTGAAACATTATGTTCTTGTAATATCTTCACATTTATGCACTCTTTTCAAAAAAATATAGGTAACTTGATTGTAGTTATGGCCATCCTTTATCAAATTGCTTCTGAGACAATATATTTGGATAACACCAAATCGTAATTACCCTAAATTCTTAAATTAACTATTCGTTAGGCCGCGAAGAGTTCTAAAGTATTCTACAGAAGTATTTAACTAACATAAGAATGTTTTCAGGATCTTTAAAATAAAAATGCTTTGGGGATGTTCAGAATTTCAAGCAATATTCTTTCAGAAGTATTTAACTAACATTAGAATGTTTTCAGCTAAGTGAAACTATTATAGTATAACTTGGTTTGCTTTTTTTATTCTCTTTCAGGAACAGATAGAATTGGATGCAAGACGTGAACAAGTTAGACAGAATGTTGCTCGTATGTGTCACTTATACTTCCACCTTATTTAATCAATTTCGTTTGAATGCTTCACTCTGATTTAGATAGATTCCTCGCGGAAGTTTTTTGTTGGTAATTGGTATTACACGAGTTAGTTCTGTGCAGAAGAGATCTTAATGCAAACTGTATTTCTTTCTTTTTTTTTTCACCAAGTTCTCAAGAAAGAAGAAGAGGAAAGGAATGCCAAAGAAGGAAGTAGAGTCCGACGTGTCGTCAACCCTGGTCAGATGCTTAAATTTGATTGTTATTGCAATATTCTTTTTTACTTTTGACATTATAGCTAATTTATGTTTCCGCGCAGAAAACGTTGGTGGTCCGGACTTGAAAAGTTTTATACGGCAGTTACAGGTTCCTTCCGAAGGTACGTCGGTCTTATTGTTCATTAGTTGCTTTATGAGGATTTTTACAATGCACGAGCACTACTTATCCTTTGGATAAAGCTTTTGACGAGTTTTCTCCTATATAGGTAACGAGGTTGAAGAATCACCTGGCACAAAGAATGACTTGAGGTCAGTGTTTGGAAATTTATATTTGATGCATTAAGATCTTGTTTGAATTTGAAATGTATGTTCTTATGTACACCCCCACCCCAAACATGCATGTGCTCACAAAAGCTCTTTCGGACACTTTATTGCAGTCTATAGCTAGAGTAACACCTTTTATTCCTTGTCTTTTTTTGCCTTAATTTTATGGATTTCAATTTTTATCGTTTTCTTTTCATCTTTTTGTTTAAGTCTTATCAGCAATCTTCTCTGTATTCTTGTTACAGTATTTTGGTTGGCTTAAATAGTCTTTTGGTCTCGGTAAGTTAGCGTGTTTTTTATTTTTTTTTTCTTGGATAAAGTCTTTAAATGTTGAATTTCATTTGGTTTTAGTCCCTAAAACGAAAATCCGCAGGAAAATCTGCAGGTTTCCTGTGGATTTACTTTAGAATTTTCCTGCAAATTTTAACTTTAGGAACTAAAACCAAAAGAATTTTAACATTCATTGATCATTTCCAGGAAAAAAAGATACAGGGACCAAATTTAAAAACGCGCCAACTTACAGGGACCAAAAGACTATTTAAGCCATTTTCGTTTTATTACCGTGGAATCGTGGTTTTTCTTTCCTTAATAAAATTGTTCAGAGTAACAATTCAACATATAGTAATCATTTGATCTTTCTGCAGGAGTTCTCAAGATAGCACAACTAAGAATGCAAAAGATGAGCTTGAGTAAGTCGAAGTGCTTAGATAGGCTCGTTTGTTACATATTATAAAAAATGGGACTTATGGTATTCAATAATTTAGAGATTACATATTAAAGGATTTGTATGAAAAGCAAGAGTTAATTTTTGTATGTTGACTATAAAGAAAATCACTTTTTATAAAAAAGCTACTCATAACTGCTTCCAATTTAAAACAATTTTTGAATTGTTTTACTTTTTCTGTTTCTCTTTTAAACAAGATCAGTAACAAACGGATGAAAATTCGTAGAAGTGGACTTTATCATAGATATTTACGTAATTAATCGTTATCTGTTGGTAAAATTTTGTTTTCAGGTCTTCAGAGCCAACTGGTTCAGGTGCAAGTTATAGACCTGGAACATGGCAACCTCCATTTTGAACTTTCTTCAATCATCACAACTAAGGGAGGACCTTGCTGACAGAACATCTGCTAATCTTGTCTCATGCTCTGTTTTGAAAAGCCACACATGACATTTTATTTATTCCTCAAGAATTTTGATACATTTTATGTGTGTGATCAAGTTTCTCAAACTTGTAATTCATTGATTTTACATTTGTTAGTCGAAAATGACCACTAAGATAACCTGGCGCGATATGCATTTGCGGTGTATCTTGCACTGCTGAGTAATGTAGTTCTTTCTAAATAATTTCATACTTAGTTTTGATGCATTGTGATGTTTCAAATCTAAAGACATGATGTGAAATTCTGATTGTAAATGTACTTTTGGGTGACCTTAAGCAAGGACCATTGCCCGAGTTTGAACTGTAAATGAAGAATTTGAATCGAAATTACTGTCTTACATTTTTGTTTTTGTCTAAATATTTCAAACAATAAAATGCAAACAATATTCATAAACATAATAAAACTATTATAAGATGATAATAGCTAAATATAAAAATATTTCAAGTGAATTAGGAGAATCACAATAAGTTTGTCAGCATCTTTTATAAAAATGCAATATATCTTGGACAATGACTTTGCATCACATTCACACTCCTTTATTAAATTCTATGTTTTCTTTTTATAGAAATTGAAGAATTTCCTTCTCATAGTGCATTTGCAACACCATTTATTGATTCTTGGAGCTCAATAATTTTCCTCTTTGTCTATTTCTAACCACTTTCAGTTTCTTCCTTTTACTGCCATTTGTTATGGGTGAATGATCTGGTAATTGTGTTTCGGGTTCAGAAAAGTCATGAACAACATTAAAGCTCTCTAAAGTCATCTCATTTCGTGCAACCCGCATATCAATCTCTTCAATACTTTCAACAATATCTTCTTTGTTGATCGATGAAATTTGTTTTCTGGTCTCTTCTAAGGTATCAGATTCATACCCGTAAAGTATCATCATTTTCTTATAATTTGGAAATGGTATATTTTTCCATTTTAATGCTTTTGGTTTTGACTGCAAAAACATGATTAATAAAAGCGACATGATTAACAAAAGTTATACAAATATTTTGAAACACAAAAATTTCATCAAAAATTACCTCAATAAGAGCATTCCAAACTTTTGACTCAGCATCCCATAACTGAGTAGTTGAGTTCCAAGAAAATCCGTTCATACCACCTTTAAAAATATCATAATATTCCATGAAATTTTTTTCCAAGGTTTTCCAACGATTTTCTATCTGAGTCTTATCAACTTCTTTTCCAAACAATGTACTGAGTTCAACTGCAATATTTTCATATGATATTGTAGTGAAGATACCATTGATTTTATTACCTTTTTCATGTTCATGCATAAAAGCATCAACAAGAGCATCATCTACAACTCTAGTCCAACTCAAAGTTTCACAATTACCATTGTTATTTGATAAATTGTTATTTGGAGCCATAAGCTATGAAAATGAAAATAACATAGCAAAGTTAATAAATACAATTAAAATGAAAATCCAATAAAATTTAGTCCAAACACAAATATAAATAAATAATTTGATAAACATTATAATAAATTCGATACTACTTCGTCAAAGAACAACAAACATAAAAATAATAATGTAAAATACAAGAAAAACAATTTAGGTTAAATCATTTTTTTTATAACTTAACCACATCTAAGTTTTCATTTGGGTTTGCACTGATTAGATAATTGTGAAGAATCTGACATGTAAAAATAATTAATTTTTGAGATATGACTCCACAATTAGGCTCTATTGAGTCAGACAAAATCTCAGTTCTTTTTTCAATACACCATTGACTCTTTCTATTGCATTACATAAACATAAATGTCACCAATTAAACATCTCAATTATTCATTTCAGTTAAACAACATGATAGCCGCATAATAATACAATCAACAAAATTTTGACACAAGTGAAAAATATGGAATGAGATAAAAAAACAACACTGAATAAAACTCACCTGAGAGTAATAACACGCAGACAACGAGCTCATAACAGAAGATTAAAAAATACGATTATCTGAATGAAAAATAACAAAGAGAAAAAATCTAGTATTTAAAAACTCAATTAGGATATTTTTGCAATTTAAAATATAAAAATTAAAGATAAAACAAAAAATATAATAAAAATTTAAACAATAGATATTTTTTCCCCTGAGAAAATGCACACGAGAATATAATAACTAGTAAGAGACTCGTGATTCGTGTAGACAATAACTTCATTTTACTACAATATATTTGACATCAATACAATTTTAATGTAATAATTTGACTAATGTTTTCAAAGTCTTTTTTTTTAGTTTTTGGAAGAAAAAATTATTTAATTAATTAGAAAAGTTAAAAATGTAAAAGATATGTTATTATATGGTAAATAAATTGGATAAATATTGATTAATTGTTACATGATGAAAAAATACATCAAATATTAAAAAGAGATATAATTACCTTTTTTTTTATAATTTAAACGGGTGAAGACATGCATATTAATCTTTGGGTTTATATATTTGATTTTTATTAAGGGTGATAAAATGGATCGCTTGCTCTATTCCACCACGTCTTAAACCCGCTAAAGAAAAGAAGGGCGAGCAAACCCGCCAAATGAAAATGAGTATAAGAATTTAACTCGTCCCGCTAAGGTAGTGAGTTGGCGGGCGGCAGTCTTGCCCGCCTACTTATTTATTTATTTACTCATTTTTTAAATATATTAATAGATTTTTTTTCATTTTAATTAGATTTATCACTTATATTTTAGAACATTTTTTATAAACCATCTTATAACAAATTTTACTTGCATATATTTATAAATTAATATATAAAATAAAATCATCAAGAACTGTAATTATTATAATTAACTAAAAAATGACGGATTTAAGGTGGGGTAAACAAAAAGAAGAGGTGCGGCGAGTTTTGGCGGACGACGGGTTTTGGCGGAGCGGGTATTGACGGGTAACCATCTTTAACGGAACGAATTTTAGTGGGCGACTGACCCAAAATCTTAATCCAATCCACTATTTTTTGACAGATGTGCGGTCCGATCTAACGGATCACGACCCGTTTTATTACTTCTGAATTTTATAGACCAAAATCAAATTGAAATTTGAATGTATGTGTAAAAAGAAATTTTAACATATTTTTACAAATAATCCTTTACTTCTCCAAAGTCCAAAACAAAATTTTAACTCTACCTCTTTTTTTATTTATTTAACTTTTTATATTTATTTTCACTTACCATCCTCTTAGATATACTTGAAGTTCACCTACTCTACAAATAACTTTTTATATGTAAGAGCTTTTCAAAATTTAAAATATTTTAGAAAATTGTAAGTTTTCTGGTGCTGAATATTACAAATTGAAAATTGTTAAGAGCACAGTTACACAACAATGAGATTTTAAGAAGAGCAAGAAATTCTACAACTAACTTTTTGCAATATTCTTCTCTGTTTTCATTCATTCATCAGCCAGATACATATATAGCTAAATTGTTACAACATATCTGCAAATCTAGCTATACACTACCAGCTGGGATTCTTACAATAACAGTCATTTAGTGACTAAGCAATAAAGCTTTTAGATGTTCCTATCATTTTGGAATCTTAGGTATAACAAAGTCATCTAGCCTCTTGGGCCTTACTGTGTTCCTTTTGGGTGTAACATGAGGAGCTACTTCTTCCTAACCTCCCTTTCCATAGTTGACAGGGATGTAGTATTTCGTAAATGCACAAAAATATCAGAGTAATATAATTAGTGTCGAATTCACAGGGACGTAATAGTCAAATTATTGTTTCCTATCGTTATGGTGTTTATTTAAGGCTAATAAAATAAGGATTTGAGTTATGCAAATAAAGTAAATAAAAAGGCTTAAGTTAATATCAGAAAAGCAATGTTGGAATATGAATCTCATCGATTCGTTGGTATTCTTAAGGTTCATAAATTAAATTTCTATGGGACAATATTTTCTACTTTTGAAAATAACTAATTGAACAGGAACCGTCGCTTTCGTGTAATCAGAACTGAATTTTACCCTCTAAATTATACCATCCACTGTCACGGTGGTGACGCATATTGCGTTAAAGAAATAAAACATATTTTAAGAAATTAGAACTCTTAACTCAGTTGACAAGTGATTTTGATTGGAAAATAATACTTTAAAAGATTTCCGGTGTTCGCATCGGTAAACCGTACCTTAAACTTACAAACGCATCCGAAAATAGGTTTAAAAAATACTTTATGAAAATATCAATTTTCCTAGTTAACTAACAAATGGCTTTCGTGATTTTTATCAATTAAAAACTAAACAACATTAATCTTTGGCACGAGACGGCTTTCGATCTTACACGACATATAAATGGTTCTACTTTTGTAGTAATCGACAAAATTAAGTTTATAAATATTGTGATTAAAACCAAAACAGTCCCAATAGAATTTCTCAAGGAACAATTATTTAGAATACCGTCAAATCGACGATCCTCATATTCCAACAAATATAAATTTAGCTAGACATGATCATAACGTAAATTAAAGCGATTGATTCGATTATACAAGTAAAAACAATAAACATAGTAAAATAAACTTTAAATAGACAATTAAAAGAAATGTAGAAGAAAATCGTGAATTTAATCTGGTATGGAAATTAAGGAAAATGTTGAAACTTGAATGCAGAAGATAAATGACAACAATATTAATGCTTCAAAATAAAGGTTGCTTCAAACTCGATTACAGACTCAATCAACGGTGCGATAAACCTTCAGTGTGAAGAGTTAATCGCTTACAAAATTGACAGTATAATGGCCTAATTTTGTAACTAAGCTTGGATACCTCAAAAGTAAAACCAAAAGGCCTATTTATAATAAACCAAAACCCTAAAAATCATGTTGGCAGTTGCGTAAAACGTGGACAAAAATATTGGAGAGGAAAGTGGAGACATGGAGACCATGCAAAACCTATTTCAAATTGCTTTTCGTCAACAACGTATGGCGGTCGCCTCAGACATCATGGCGAACGCCATGTTTCAAAGTGGGCTTGACTTGGTCTTTTTGACCCCAGAAACGTGGACCACTCATGGCCACCTGTATGGTGAATGCCATGGTGGTCACCATGAGTGCAAAATGCTCCATTTTTATCTGTTTCTCGTCCATTTCGCTTCATTTCTCGGCATATGATTCTGAATTAGCAAAATATATGAAACATGCACAAATACTATCATAAAGGAGGAAATGCAACACAAAATGATAACAAATCATGCACAAATTGAGTGAAATAATCAATGTACTTTGGTGTCATCAAACTCTCTCACACTTGAACCATTGCTTGTCCTCAAGCAAAATAAAAGTGAATAGTGATACTAAAATAACTTCGGGCTTCAAAGACTTCTTTTCGGACAAAATTATATCAGTAGGTACTAAATCATAAAAACAAGAGCATTGTAATAACATGTTCCGTATTTTTGCGGGCATAAGTCTCTTTCCTATACAAACCAATTCGAATCATGTCATGATGCTTAATTCTAACTTACTCATCCCATTTTACATCCTTTTTCATTCATGCGCAATCACATTAAGCCTGTTATTCATACATACTCATAGTAAGGCGACCGATTAGTGATTCTGATCTTTTTACACGGGGTTCTAGTACTTTTAAATGGTGTAACCCCTTTATTTATCCTATTGTAGTTGTGGGGGATCAGACCATAATCTTCCCTACCAAGTTCAGCACCAGAAACCTTTGAACAAACCAACAACAAATTTTTCCTTATTTTTGCAGGTTCCATAACCATTGGGCTAAATGATCGGGTGAGGGTCACCTAACTTAGAGGGTGCATTCCCTATTTTTAGTAAATCATAGTAGAGAAGAAAATTAAGATCATCCACTTATATTCATCGGCTTCCTCTCGTAGAGCATGCTTAAGCCGGAGCCGACTGCTAAAATAAACTACTCAAGAACTTTATTTTTGGGAGAGAACTCAAGGCTAATGCATAACAACTATCCAGATCAATTTTTATACTTAAGAGACTTACGGTGTTGAAACGATACTGATATTTCAGGAAATTTCCCAAGTTTGCATGTCCTAAACTTGTCTAATAGCCCACAAATAAAAAACAAACACTATCTATTTTTGCAAAAAAAAATTCATTATGGCTCAAGAAAAGGGAAATATCTGATGAACAACAAAAACACACAAAAAGACTCGATAGCACATGAATGACTCGATAGAAAAAAACTGAATCTAAAAGAAAAACTAGAAAGCAATAAAATAATGAAAACATGAAATCTAACTAGAAAGCGAGTAAAGTTCCCCTCCCACGCTTAGATCGAACATTATCCTCAATGTTTCAAACAAAGGTGAGAAAGGGAAGAAAGAACCTGGTGTGCTCTACTGCGGACCTGCAAGGCCACCTCTCCCCTGTCTTGAACCAAATCTCTGAGCAAAAGGGAGCT